TGGAGGCCAAAAAAAATAGTTACACTTGCAGTTGTGAGCCAAGATTGTAACCGGAGAGCAGCCAGGAGCTTCCTGTCAGTAACCATGTTTTCAATAAATACTCTTTCATGTACAAACTGTGGTTCCTGTTAACAACTGTTTCTCTACTTGCTCCCTGCCCAGGGGAGCTTCAACTTGACAAGACCTCATTTCATTGTGTCTGCGAGACTTCGGAGAGCTCCAGCTGGAGCCCTCAGCCACCTCCTAAGAGCCGCTACCTCCTCTGCCACCACCCTGCCTTCACCTCGGGCGCGCGTGCACACACACACACCCTGCTGGTTAAGGATACTCACAGATTGGCGCACCAGGACAAAGTGTTTTCTGATCAGGCCTGCCGGGTACAGCAGGGAAAGGCATGCTGTACACCCCGTGAACATGTCCTCTCTCTTCTCCCTGCCAGGGCCACCGCCAGGGGACAGCTCGAGTACTCGTGCCTTACAAAGAAGACACGTTCTTCACCCTGTGTGTTGCCGGTGCTTAGTGCCCAGCATTCCAGCTGGTGTTTTAGGCTGTTGCTCCAAACCTCAGCCTTGGTAGCTGGGAGGCTTGAATGAGGGCGGTGATGAAAACAGATACTTTCTCTTGCCTCTGAGAGAGAAGGAGGGGAGGACAAGCTCTTTCAAAAGGCACAGAGTGCACAGGCACTACAGGCCTTGAGGACTGAATAAAGCCAAGACCTTGGGCAGCGATGGGTGCCATTGCAGGTGCTGGCTAAGTGTGGACTGAACTAATGTCTGCAGGGTGCCAGCTGGCAATGGCAGGGGCAGCAGCCGTTTGCATAATGCACTGCTTACACTCTGGCCTTGAGCCTTCTGTTCAAAAGGCAAGGGGAGCCCAGGCGAGTCACTTGCAAGGGTCCCTGTTTGCAGCCAGTCTTTGAGCCAGAGTGCCCAGGAGGGGCCAAAGAGGGAAGGCAAAAAGCCCCAAACTGAGCCTCTGCCTGCAACCCTAGCCTGCCTGGCTTCCTAATGATTCTCCCTGTCTGCAGGCTCTGCCTTTTAATCCAGCCTGCAAGATGAATAAGATCTCAACGCCCTCGCTGGCATTTTTGGGACCAGTGCAACCTGCCCCCTGGCTACTTTTTGGGTTACCCTCTTTAGAAACAACTGGGCTCCAAGCCAGGCTCAGCCTGCTCATCCCTCTGCCTGGGACGCTCTCCCTCTACTGGACCTGTGGAAATGGAGATCGTTCTCATCAAGTTTCAGGCACACAGAAAGTGTTTCACAAATGCTTAGTATAATTATTACTTCTCATGGATCTTCTACGTGCTAAAATGTAATGCCCCCGACTTATCATCACTCCCCAGCTGGCTTGAGCTCCCAGAAGAAAAAGCCACGAGAGATTTATCTTGGTGGTTCGTTCCGTGGTGCCCAGCACGGGGCTGGACATAGGTAAAGACTTGATGTTTTCAACAGAAGTAAACAGGAGACTATTTTCTGGCCCCCGCGGTGCGCACGGCTCTGCACTAGGCGTCGGCCGCCAGAGCGGCGCCTCGCCCGAGCGCAGGAGACACAAACGACCAAGCAAGACGGGGTGCTCAGCCCCGGGCCGCAAAGGCTCCGCGGGAAGGGCGCGCCAGGCTGGGTCACGGCGGACAGTGGGGGAAGCCCCGCCCCGCCCCTCGCCGGCTTCCGGCGGAAGTGCCCCCCTCCGCGGCGACGCCCAGCCTCGCACTTCCGGCAGGAGGGTCCCGGCCCCGAGCGCCCGCGGCCGAGGTGAGTGGGCGCGCGGAGGGCCTCGCGCGCGCTCCCGGGGACGGGGAGGGCCGGGGCTGGGCCCGGGAGCGGGGTCGCGGCCGGCTGGGCGCGCCCGGGCTCCTGCTTTCCCGGGCCGCGGTGTCCGCGCCGTGTAGGGGCCAGGGCCTCCTCGCGCCCTCCTCGGCCGCCTGCCCCGCGCGCTTCCCCGGCATGTCCTGAGCACCCCGACGCGCCGGGCCTGCACCCCGGCGGGCATCTGCAGCACAGCCCTGCCCGCCGAGCGGCCGCCTCCCGCCCTGGGGTGCGAGTGGGGGGCGGGCAGTAGACACGTGGGCAGACGGGGAGACGTCAGGTGGTAGGAGGGACCATGAGGATGAGGAGGGGGCCCACGAGGAAAGTTAAGCCACCCAGGGATGTGTGGAAGTGTGTTCTGGGCAGAGGGAACAGCAAGTGCGCAGAAGGACACAGGCTTGATGTGTTTGACAAACAGCCGGGGGCCAGCGTGGCAAGTGCTGGGGCCGTGGGGGGAGGAGGTGGTCGGCAGAGGCCTTCCTCGTGGGCCTGCTGAGGAGTTGGGATTAGCCCTGTGAGCGCGTGGTCTGTTTTCTGTGCTTAGGCCGCCTCCCAGCTGCTTTGTGGACTTGAGGTTGGCTGGCGGGGAGGAGGCAGGGACACCAGTCAGATCAGATGTCCAGTGGGTGAAAGATAATTGTGGCTTAGACTGTGATGGTGGAGTAGAAGTGAAGTAAGTGGGTCAAGAAGTATGTTGGAGGTGGAACTGACAGGACAGGATTTGAGGAAGGAGAGAAAGAGTGGTCAGGGTGACTTCATCGTTCGTCTGGGGGTTTGGGCTTAAGTGTTATGCTGGCATTTACTAATGACTTTGGACTAGATTGGGGGCGTGAATCGCGAAATCTGCTTGGGGCACTTAAAGTTTAGATCTCGTGAGTGGAGCCACCAGATAGGCGGTTCGATGTGCTAATCTGGAGCTCACAGAAAGGTTAGGGCTAATGGAAAGAACTTAGAAATCATGGGCATGGCGATTGGATGGGATGAGGTTACTCAAAGTGAGAATTAAGATAGAGCTTGTGCGCTCCACTATGTACTCTTGTAGGGAGAAGCAGAGAGAACCATTTAGGAGACTAATGCATCGTGTGGGGGAAAGAGGATGGTGGCTCAGGTGATGGTGGTGGAGGTCAGGAGATGTGATCCTGTTGGAGATGTTTTGTGAGGATAGAGCTGACAGTATTTTGATTGATTGTGCGCCAACGGAAAAAGCAGAATCAAAGATAAGAGCAAGATTCTCGGCCTAAGCAACTAGGTGAATGGTGGTCCCACTGGCCGAGGTGGGAAGAGGAGCAGGTTTGGACGAGGACAAGAAGGCAGTTGGATATTCTTCTGGGGTTCATGGGGAGGTCAGAGAGAGAGAGACACATTGGGGAGATGTCAGCTTAATGGAGACATTTCCAGGATGGGACTGCATTAGGTCACATAGCATAGTGGTTCTCAATCCATTGGATACGACACCCTCTTTTTAATGACAAATATTTCATTAACAACCCCCCTTATTATCCTAAAATGAAATTTATGGTTCATAAAAACTGCCTACGTATAACTTTTAAAAAATTGATGATGCCCTAACCACAATATAAAAGAGAAATAAAAGGAAAGTAATTGACAACAAAATAAAATGTGTTTCAATATGTAAGTTCCTGTGCACAAGGACACTGGAAGTCACAATGAGGCAGTCGATGCTTTCGCCACTTTCCCCATAGAACCTCTGGGAAAGTGATAGCCACGGTGCAGACTACTACAGCTCGAAAACCATGAGTGCCATTGCTGTAGATAATGTGGTTTTTCCGGGAACTCGTGGTACCCTTTTATCAAGAACAGTTCATTCTCCCCCCAGGGTAAATGGTAAATGTACTCTTGGAAATTTTAGTGCATAGTAGAACCATGGAAAAACTATTCTGTTACATGTAAAAACAGTTGGGTTCTAGGTTCAGGTAATTATAAGCAGATCTTTGGCCTCCATGAATGTCAAGGTCATGTAGGGTGCCGAACAATTCTGTTATGTGGACTATCTCCCTTATAGTCCCCACTCACTAAAGCTAGAAGCGTCCCCCCAAACACCACCACAGGTTTCCAAAGTTCCCTTGAAGAGAACTACAGCCCTGTGATGTCCTTTGGGCAGAGGCTTGTGCCAGCTCCCAGTTTGTGTTGGGGGAGGGGAAATGATAACCCAGGTTCCAGAGTACAGAACTGAATGTGATTACTCCCTTCAGAAAGGACTGGGGGTGGGGGGAAGGAAGATGTCTGATCACATGGTTCTAGGAAGGCTTCAAGAAAGAGGTGGCATTGCAGCAAGGTGGGAATGTTTCAGAGGAAGAGGTGAGGGAGGAAGAACACACAAATGAAGCAGTAGGTGGGATAACGCTGGACCCGGGTCCACCTGGTCTTCCTGGAGCCTGGCATGCTCTGGGCACTCATTAGGGTTGGCTAGATTGGTAGGGAGGCAGCGAGTTGTTTAGTTTGGCAAGACCCTAAGGAGGCACCACCTCTATGGGAGTGGTTGCTAGAAGCTAGGGCAAGGTAGGTATTGGTTTCCTAGTCCATTTTTAACATCTTAAAGACTAGATCAGTCCCCTGAAAATCACATGCCTCCTCTCTTGCACTGAGTTATGAAACCATATGGAGAACCTTAATGCGCCAGGTGAGTGTAAGGCTAATGTGGACATGGTGATCCTTGTCTTCAAGGAGCACACAGCCTCCCAGGCGACACAGAGACCACTCCAATCATCGCGCCCTGCGCAAGTGCGATGAGTGAAAAGTAGCGGAGCCGTGAGAGCAGCCTGAAACTCAGGGGGACGCGTGGGGGTGGTCCCTGAGGAAGCGACAGCTGAGCTGAAGATGAGTGGGAGCAGCTGAGAAAGGAACGAAGGGCAGGCAGTGTTGAGTTCCTTCAGGCAGCAGGAGAGAGCCCAGGGTGTCTGGGGAACTGGAAGGCGGTGGTGAGCCTCGGGCACGGAGAGCCTGGAGCTGAGGCCGGGAGGCCTGCAGGGACTGGATCAGGCCTTAGCTGCAGGAAGGGTTTATGGTCATCATCATAAAAGCACTAGAAGCCACCAAAGGCTAGCATCTGATCTGACATGATCAGATTTACATTTTTAAAAGGTCACTTTGGTGGCAATTCATGGAGAACAGCTTGAGGTGATAAGAGAGTGGACGTGGGTGTGGGCTCCTTCCTGCTGTCCTGTCTCCTCTGACCTGCCCCCTGCTGGGTGGGGATGGGGTGGGCGAAGCCAGATGGCCGTCACTCTGCACAAGCCACCAGAGCTGCCTTCTCATCCTTCCAGCCTTAGACCCGGGGACCTGCAAGCCCTGCATCCAGTTACTAGTCATGGAGAGGGTCGGCTCAGGCCACCAGCCCCTTAGGTGAGGACTCTGCCTGGGGCTCTGTTGACGATTCCGAATCATGGAGACGAAGAGAACTCCTCTGGCCAGGAGCCATTCTTGTTGAAAGTCGTGAGCCAGCTCGACTGGCTCTTCCTGCGGGCTATCTTCAGGAGAGGTGCCAGCCCCCACTGACCCAGAGCTAGGGAGTTGCAGCCTCCACGGATGGGGAGGTGGGCCCTGGAAGTGGCCTTTGTGTGGAAGGCGGTGTTGACTCTGGGGCTGGTCCTTCTCTACTACTGCTTCTCCATCGGCATCACCTTCTACAACAAATGGCTGACGAAGGTAACTCGGAGGCCTTGCAGCGCAGGGGCCGGGGAGGGAGGTGGCTGTGGCTACATTGCCCCTAATATTTAACAACAGGAAGGCCAGGCTTCAACTAATCAAACTGGAAGCCAGTCGCACTAGTGATGGGACAGGGCCCCAGAGCCCTGCCGTGCCAGGGATTCCCCTTCAGTGTTTGGGTTGAGGGGAATCAGGAAAGGGAGACACCGAGGGTGAGCTGGGGAAACCCGGGGGGCTTACGGTGCAGCTGTTTACCATCTGGTAGAGAGGTCGTTTGGTATTTTAATCATTGGCACAGCCCTCCTGGCCCGCACTGGCTATTAGCTGGGTGGAGGCGGGGGGACGGGCTGGAGCAGGTAGCTCACAGGCCTGTTGAAGAGTGGACAGCACCATGCTGCGACTGAGCCCTGGTCTGCCACCTGCTCTCCGTGTGACCTCCAGAACTGGGACTAGTAGTCTCTCATCCCAAGTGATTGTAATGTGGGTGAAAGCCCCTCGCACAATGCAGAGCCCTCATGAACCACCCAGTTAGCACCACTGCCGCCTGATAGAGGCGAGGAGGGGGCCGGAGTGGGCAGGCGGTAAGCCACACCTGGGCTGTGTGCTTGGGCTCCGCACAGAGCTTCCACTTCCCCCTGTTCATGACGATGCTGCACCTGGCCGTGATCTTCCTGTTCTCTGCCCTGTCCAGGGCCCTGGTTCAGTGCTCCAGCCACAGGGCCCGCGTGGTGCTGAGCTGGACCGACTACCTCAGAAGAGTGGCTCCGACAGGTATGTGCCGGTGGGGCGAGCCCTGGGGCGGCCCGGGCTGGAGGGGGTGCTTGGAAAGCCATAGGCCAAGGACAAAAGGAAGCCTGCATGGCTTGAAGCTTAGGCCCCCTCTGCCCGCTTCACTCCTGCCTGCTCCCCCACCCCCACTTCTGCCTCTTACGTACTTCCCATCTGCCCACTCCCCCCACGCACACCCAGAAAAAGCCCTGATGCAGCAGTGGCCTTGTGGTTCCCTGAGCCATGCGCTATGGCCTGGAGACAGTAGTGAGCAGAGCGTGGAGTCCCTCCCCTCGCCGTGCTGCACTGAGGGCAGTGAGGGGCGTCACAGAGCACAGAGCAGGGGAACCCGCCAAGGTCGGCGGGCGGCTGGGCGGGGAGGGTTTCCCGGAGCGAGGGCTGAGTGGGCTGAGACCTGGAGGATGAGTGGGACTGGCCGGTCCTGGGAGGGGACGGCGCCTGTGTGCCTGGGAGAGGTTTAGTGTGTGTGGAGGTCTGAAAGGGAACTGAAAGTGTCTCCGGATGCTGAGAACTCAGCATTGGTGAGAGGCTGTGGGAGAAATGAGAAATGAGAGGGTGGCAGGGGTCAGATCCTGGAGGGCCAGCTCCTCGTGAGGAGTGTGTGTTTTATCCTGAGGAAAACAGGAGCCACTCTGAAGACTTTCCAGTAGGGGATCAACAGGATTGGATTAATAACCCTCATCAGGAGGACAGTCAAAATATTTAACAAATGGGAACAACACATCCCCAGCAATCAGAATGGACCGCAGCCCCAGTGCTGGAGCAGACCACCCTGCTTTTTTTGGCCAGCAGTTAACCCTCTAGTTGCTGACTAGAAAGGACAGCCCAAGGGCCCCAGAGAAAGCTGGAGTATGCAGGGCAGAGTGGGGGGCACTCAGGTGCCTGACAGAATTGTAACGTCTGGCACGCCCATGCCGGCCTCCCTGTCTGTGTGTCCGGTGGGGCCCCTGTGTCCACAGCACTGGCAACGGCGCTTGACGTGGGCTTGTCCAACTGGAGCTTCCTCTACATCACCGTCTCACTGTGAGTACCCGCCCCACCCCGCCGCCCCCCTGCAGGCTCAAGCTGTCTGTCCAGCCGGCTGTCTGTGCACCCGGCCGATGGGCCAGCTGCTACACCACTCTCTGGGACCAGCCCTTGCTCTCTCAGCTCCTGCCTGGCACCCGGCAGCTCCCCAGGAAGTCGCCAGCCTCTTGCATAAGCCCGGCACAGGGGATGCTGTGCCTGCCTGCCAGGTGGCCTGGGGAAGCCAGGGGCTCAAACAGCGGTGACAGTCACGGCAGGGGAGAAAGGGCGCTGACCGATGTGCAGGGCCTCAGCTGCACAGAGGGGCAGGCATAGCAGTTGAGAATATCTCTGGTTCTGTGCTTCAGAGAGCACAGTCCCTGCCTTCCCTCTGTCTGCACTTCTCATCCTGCCTTGCTCCTCCTGGCCTCCACTGAGGAGTAGGTAAACAAAGGTCACAGGTCAGCTCAGATGACTCAGGCCGCCTTCCTCTGGTCTTCTGTACCCAGGTCACCCACTGCCCTGAGCAGAGCCAGTTGCCCTGGTTGTGCCAAGGGCCCCTGTCTTGGTGGTGAGTCTGAGCCCAGGCTCCAGCGGTGCATTGTGGGTAATTTTTGTTTCTAGGTACACAATGACCAAATCCTCAGCTGTCCTCTTCATCTTGATCTTCTCTCTGATCTTCAAGCTGGAGAAACTGGTGAGGCCCCAGCTTCCCTTTTGACCCTCCTACTCCCAGAGATGCTAAGAATGAAAAGGGGAAACTGGGCAGTGGCTTATCACTGTGTGTGATGAGGAGACAAGCCCAGCCCAGGTGGCACTAACTCCTGTTGCTGAGGAAGGACCTAGACACAGGGCACTACTGAGAATATTAGAAACTGGTGTGGCAGGGGTAATGACCAAAGGAGAGAGGATTCAAGGACAGGGGCCGGTAGAGCCGGGTCCTGGGGGCTCCCTGCTGCGTGAGGTCCAGGGGAGGGGGTGGGGCCACCTGGGGGCCTAGGACAGCCGTGGGGAAGCTCTGCCGTGTTTTAGATCAGGTAGGGAGGGTGGGTACATGCCAGCTGAAGGTCAGCCCTGCATCCATCGACAGGAAGGAGCTGGCAGGACCCTCGGGTGGGGGAGGTAGGAGGGTTTCTTGTCCAAGGGCAGCCAAGGTGGCTGCACACCCCCAAACCCCAGGTATGATGAACTCAAGACCCCAAGTTAGTTACCACTGCTCCCCATCCTAATAGCGTGCAGCACTGGTCCTGGTGGTCCTCCTCATCGCCGGCGGCCTCTTCATGTTCACCTACAAGTCCACGCAGTTCAATGTGGAGGGCTTTGCCTTGGTGCTGGGGGCCTCGTTCATCGGTGGCATTCGCTGGACCCTCACCCAGATTCTCCTGCAGAAGGCGGAACTAGGTGAGAGGGGCTGGCCCCAGGCGGGGTGGAGGCAGGCCAGGCCAGGCCAGGCCTGAGGGCTCACCCGTGTCCCCATTCTGCAGGGCTTCAGAACCCCATTGACACCATGTTCCACCTGCAGCCACTCATGTTTCTGGGGCTCTTCCCTCTCTTTGCCATATTTGAAGGTACGTTGGGTTCTCTACCTCTGGGCATCTCGGTGCAGCAGATCCCCAGACCCTGCTCTGAGCCCAGCACTGTGGTGGCTGCAGAGGTGACAGTGATCAGAACTGTGCCCCCTCGCCCGGCAGTGCCTGGTTTGGGGGCTAGACAGACACTTAAACCAAATGGCTAGAATCCAGTGTGATAAGTGCTATGTAGGAAGCGTGTATGAGATACAGCAGACGGTGATGATAGTGACCACACAGCCCTGAAGGTGTGCCGGGGCTGTCCCAGTCATTTTAAACATACTAACTCTTTAATACTCCCCAAACCCTGTGTGGTGGTACTGTTATTATCTCCATCCTGCAGGTGAAAGAGACAGGCAGAGAGAAGGAAAGGTAACCTTGCCCAAGGTCTCCTGGCTCAGAAACCAGCCTGAATTTGGATCCAGCAGCTGGCTCCAGAGTCCCCCTCTTAACTGTTATGCATTCTGTCTCCTAGAAGGAGCAGAGGGTCATGGAGTGTTTTGGGATGGTAGGGTGGGAAGGCAAGTCACAGGCTTCCCAGACAATGTCTTTTGGAGGATGAATGGGATTTTGACAGGCTGATGGGGGCAGGGCATCCCAGGAACTAGAAACAGTAGGTTCAGGCCTTCGGGTATCTGCCAGATTGGCTGAGTGCACGTTTCTGGGGTGCGGGGCCAAGGGCCAGTGCACAAGAGCCTGAGCAGATCAGCAATTCCCCTCCACTGTCATCTCCCACAGAAGAGGAGAGGCAGGGAGAATTGTCTGGGCTGGGAGGTGTGGTGCCACCATCCTTCCTCCCATGTTTTGGATTAGTTTTGTCCCTTGTCTGTTTATCCTTCCTCCCCGAGTCCCTTCTCTCCTCAGGGTCATTACAGAGAATTCTGTCTCACATCCATTTAAGTTTGAAGCAGTGAAGCGTCTCGAACCTCTCTGAGAAAATTATTCTGCAGCCCCATTGTCCAGGAGGCTTCTGTTCCACAGCCTCGTTTTTAAAATCTCTCCCCATTCCTTCATCATGCCCCTGTACAAACGCTACGCTCTCCCCCCGCCTGGTGTTTACCCCCCCCCCCCCGCCTGGTGTTTACACCATCCCCATCTCTGCAAACCCACGTCCGAAAGCCCCCGGTAGTCGTCACATAGCCAAGCTGCATGGATTTAGCTCCTTTAATCTTTTCTGGTAAATTAATCCCCCAAGCGCCTTCATTACGTATGTTGCTTTTCCCCGAATTCCCTTCAGTTTGCCGATGCCTTTGCGGTACTGCTGAGCCCAGCACCAGAGAAGATGTCCTGCAGTGTGAGGCTCTTTGCCTGGGGAGGCCTGGCACTCTGCATTTCTTTGGTGCTTCCCTCTGAAAATCTCAGAGTACTCGGCCCGCCTCCAGCTCCCATAGGAGTCTCTGTTGTACCTACGTCGGGGCTAACCTCACAACCTGCTGATGCACCAAGGGGCCTTTCTCTCAGATGGACAATGCTAGAGGGCCGAGAATCCTCTGGAAATCTAAGCAAGTGTGTAGATGCCTGAGTGGGTGTCTCCGAAACAAGGGACCATGGCTTTTGTCATATATTTATATGTGTGTGTGTGTTTACTTTTTGAGAACCGTTCATCAAATTATAGTGTCTGTGTGAGAAACCCTGGTCTAGTCCCAGTGCTCTCATTTTATCAGTGGGGAAACCATGGTCCAGAAAGGAGGCATGTCTCTGCCGAGTCCCATGGCTACATAATAGCAAGACCTGGATTAAAATGGAGAAGGTTTGTAAGGATAGAGCTTTGTCCCTGTTTATAGGTGGCCCACCTGAAAGTTAGAACAAGGGAATCCCCCAGGGGCCCAGGGCGTTGACAGTCCTCACTTGATGGGCTGCCCCATCTCTCTTTGGCCCAGTGGTTATCACAGCTGCAGAGCCACAGGAAGTCACTATTCTCCACCCTCCTCCCCAAAGGCGGGTAGGTAAACGCTGTGAAGGAGCAGGGTGCTTCCTCCGATGTTCTCTGCGGTACCACCCTCCCCCGCTTAACCCAGAGGCTCGGAAGCCCTCCCCATCTCTCCCTGTGAGGACCTCTGGCTTATATTGCCCTGGGGCTCTCTGGTAGCCATCACTGCGTCCCCGGCTTCCCCAAGTCTCAGGCCATCTGCATGGGACTCTCACGCCTCCCGTCCTCTTCCTCAGGGCCTCAGACGGTCAGCAAGTGCTCAGCGAGTGTGCCCTGCAGCCGTGGCAGGTCTCACTCTGTGGCTGGGGATGGTGAGGCCACCGGGTGGGCACACCCAGGACATGGCCTCCCACCGTCTCTCCCATTGCTTTCAGGTCTCCATTTGTCCACATCTGAGAAAATCTTCCGTTTCCAGGACACAGGGCTGCTCCTGCGGGTACTTGGGAGCCTCTTCCTTGGCGGGATTCTCGCCTTTGGTTTGGGCTTCTCTGAGTTCCTCCTGGTCTCCAGAACTTCCAGCCTCACTCTCTCCATTGCTGGCATTTTTAAGGTACGGACTCAGAGGTGACCCCTGTCCTGTCTTAGAGGGGAGCCCCCTAAGGGTGTTTCTCAACAGCGGCTTCCGTCCCAACTCCTGCACCCCAGGGCCCTGCAGAGAAGAGACGGAAGTGCCTAGTTAGGGTGCTGAGAGCCATGCTCTCATCTGTACCCCCTCCCATCATCGCCACAGCCCCGTGAGGTGGGGATGCTCATCCCCAGTTCACAGCTGGGGAAACAGACATGAAGAGCTGCTCCTCCCCAAGGATACACGGCTAGGAGGTGGCTGAGCTGGGATTCAGAGCCAGGTCTGACTCCACCAGGCCTGGGTCGCATTTACATTTTACTATGAATGCCAACTCTAGTCATGTGGCAGCAGCCTGAGCCATGGGTTGAGAAGCCCCCATCCAGACTCATCAGTAAAGAGTTCTGTGATTGATTGGCAGTGTCTGCCGTGGGCACAGCAAGGGATGGTTATATATCAGGGAGTGCCCTGTGTTTGCCAATCCTGCCTCTGCTGCCGCCATCAGCTCCCTTGCCCTCTTATCATCCTTGCCTGACCTCCCCCTCATCTCACTGCTCCCTGCTCAGGGCCATGGAGGGAGTTTTTTCTGACTAGGCAGACACTGATACTGGAGCAGTGTTCCTAAAACCAGGAGTATAGGTCTCCCCTAGGGTCTTCTGGTTGCCAGCCAATGACGAGGCATACGCTGTGGTTCTCAGAAGGAATCATCTCACCAGTCCCGTTTGCAGCCACTGTGTACGGAGAACCCCGTGCCCAGTGTGTGTCCTGTAGAGCCCAGGGTGATGCTGCGTTCCTCCGTGGCAGCTGAGGCCTCTGTCTGTGGGTGCCTTCTTGAAGGGTAGCTTTCCTTGTGCCCGTGGCCATGGGCTGAAGCCCTACACTCCCAGCCCTGGGTTCCGTCTGCCTCTTCTAATCCTGACAGAATTCTGTGAAGAGCGCCTCCTTTGTTGCATCTCGGTAACACAAAGGGAGGAAACGTTACAGGCAGGACTGGTCCCCTGAGCGGGGGGACGCCTTCCCCTTTGCCCTGCAGGCCAGCCTGCCCAGGCCCCGGGAGTCTTGGCAAGTCTGGCTCTGTCCTCTGGGGGTGCCCAGTGCCCTGCCCTCCCGCCTCCTTGCAAAGGAGCCAGCTCCCCCTGCTGACCACTCCCCTTCCTGCTTCTCTGCCACAGGAAGTCTGCACTTTGCTGTTGGCGGCTCATCTGCTGGGTGATCAGATCAGCCTCCTGAACTGGCTGGGCTTCGCCCTCTGCGTCTCGGGAATCTCCCTGCACGTGGCCCTCAAAGCCCTGCACTCCAAAGGTAACCCAGGCCCCTGCAGAAGCCTGTGACGTTCTCCCCGTGACTCTCGGCCTCTGTGATTTCCCCTTGACCCAGCCCTACCAGGAAGGGGCAGGTGACTCGCGACTTCCCCAAAGCAGTTCCAGCCTGGTGGCTGTCTGTGCAGTTCAGCCGTCTCTGCGTTGGCTCTTTCTCTAATTCAGGAAGTGTGCCTGGTGATTCTGCCGCCACCATTCCTCTGAGAAGACTCCTCTCCAGGGAGTGGGTGGGTGGCTGGGCGGGGGCCCAGGTGACTCAGCAAACACCCGCATTGGCACACTGAGAGAACCATCGCTGGGTCTGTAACTGGTCTCTCTTTATCCCCAGGTGATGGCAGCCCTAAACCCTTGAAGGGGCAGGGCTCCAACCCTGACCGGGAGCTGCTGCTCTGGAGCAGCCAGCAGGGGGAAGATGACTATGAGGAGGAGGAGGACTGCTTAGTGGCCCAGGGGCAGCAGTGACCAGCCAGGGGACCCGCTTGGAAGCAGGCCGCTCCACGGCCCTCACACTTGACGGTGGTTTGGGGACCCGTGTGGCTCCTCACAGCAGCCGGGGAAGCGGTGACTGGAACCTCGCAGGCTGGGCCTTGGATCGCACACGACCACGTGGTGGGGCTAGGTCAGGGAGCTGGTCAGACAGCATGCTGGGCACCAGCCACCCTGGGGCCTGGCCGGACTGGGTCCAAGCCGTGCTGCAGTCACAGCAGAAGGGAGGGGCTGTTCTCAGCTGCCCGCCAGGCTCTGATAGCCGAGAGTATGATTTCAGAGGCATAACAGGTTTCTGAGGGGCCTGGGTTTGGTCTGTGGAGCGGTTGGAAAGGGGATGGAGAGGCCGGGGCCTCATCACCTGGAGAGCAGCTTTTCTCAGCAGATCTATTTATAGTTTGGAAATAAAAGGGTTTATGGTCCACTGGCCACCTTGTGTTGCCTGGAGGTGTGGGGGCAGGGAGGGGCGGTGTAGGCTGGCCTCTCCCCTTCCTTCCATGCCGTGGGCCTTCCCCAGATGACTGGTCACACTCCAGGCCTTCCACGTCTCTTATGCTCCTGGGTGAGTCCCGGTGCCCTTCCTTGGGGCCCTACCACACCTGCAGGCAGGAAAAAATTAATATGTACTGAGTACTGTATTCTGAGGACTTTAGGATTTGAATCCTGACTCTGTCACTTACCAGCTGTGTAACCTTAAGCAAATTACTTACCCTCTGTACCACAGTTTTCTGCAAAAGAGAGATAATAATTACTACAGAGTTGTTCTGAAGATTGAGTCAATATTGGTAACAGATTAAATGTTATCTGCGTGTTTATTTTGAAAATCCTTTTAGCAGGCGTGGAACCCAGACCCTAAATGAATGGCCAGGCTAGGGTTCATGGCCAGGTCTCTGTGCCTATGTGTATGTCCACAGAATGTATATGGAAGGGTTTATTGGCCTCTGGCACCTGGGCCTTCCGCTCACCTACCTTGGACAAGTCACGCTGCCCCTCTAGACTGCAGGCCTCTGTATAAAATGGGGAGGGAGGGGCCGAGATCCCTGCTGCGAAGGGCAGTGGTTCTGAGGCCTGGCCTGCTGCTGTGAGCTGCTGCCAGGGCCCTGCCTTGGGAGAGCGGCTGGGCTGTGGGGCCGAGTCCTTCCAGACAAGTGCTTTTAGGCTCTCACAGTAGGTGGCGCCGTTGCTCCATGCTGCCGCTCTCAGCTGCCCCACCTGCCACCACTGCCCAGCGTGGGCAAGGGTCCTTGGAAGAGGACAGCGGGTGTCTGTGGGTGGGGACGAGGACGGGGCTTGTTATGAATTGTTCTAATCAGATTGGAGCCACAAAAGCTCACTCTTTAGGAGGATGTTAACACTTTAGAAATGGGCTGGCAAACTTTTTCTGCCAGATAGTGAATATTTTCTGTTTGGGGGCTGTGTAGGCTCTGTCGCAGCTGCTCAAGTCTGCCTTTGTAGCAGAAAAGCAGCCGCAGACAGAGATACAGAAACGGGCAGGGCTGTGTTCCAGCGAAACCTTGTTTGCAAAAACAGGACTTGGCTTGCTGGCTGTAGTTTGCCAACCCCTGCTGTAGAAGAATCCTTGAGAATTACTCAGTCCCACTCCAGTCTTACAGCTAGGGAAACTGAGACCCAGGAGAGGGCAGTGACTAGCCTGCCGTCCTCAGAGCCTCTGGGCTCAGGAGGAGTTAGAACCGAGATCTGCCTCCAATTCAGCTTCACAACGCAGACTTCTCGCACAAATGGAGGTGTGACACCAAGGGCTCCCCTGAGGTGGGGCCTTATCTGGTTCCTGCACCTCTGCCCCTCCCTGGATTCTGCCAGCTCAAAGGCCAGGATTAAAGGAAGCTCATGCTCCACACCACATGACGTGGGGAGAGCCAGCAAAAAGGGGCGGGGGCCTGCCGCCTCTGCCAGAGAGGCTGCGTGGGATGCAGGATGCTCGCGGGATGCGGGATGTGGGATGCAGGATGCTCGTGGGATGCAGGATGCTCGCGGGATGCGGGATGTGGGATGCAGGATGCTCGTGGGATGCAGGATGCTCGGGCAGTGGGGAGAGCCTGCCAGAGCCCCTTTGGCTCAGGTGGATGAGAGCTTCCTGTCTGCGCCCCACACCATCCCCCTCGCCCCACGCAGGAGCAAGCGCTGCTGTCTGGTGCAGTAATTACAGGGTGCGGAGCGGGGCCCTCACCGCCCACATGTAGGGTTCAATGACAGCCCCTCACTTAGCAGCAATTACCGGCCAAGCCTAGAGGAGGTCTCCTCTCCTCCTCCCCCACCTGGCCCACCCAATCACCTAGCTTCGCAGGCCAGACAGCGTCTACCCTTGGCTTTGAGCCCTAGAAGCACCCATGCTGTCTGCAGCCACTGCATCTCAGGGCTGCAGCGTCGCCATGGCAACTCAGCGCTTGCACAGGTTGAGGGAAGCTGAAGATGTGACTTGTCTCTCTGAGGCTGTGGTGTGTGTCCCCACGCAGCCTCCAGCTCCGGGGCTTCTGCAGAGGAGGAAGGAGGGAGGGAGGCTGACCTGCAGGTTGGAGTTTTAAGTGCTTACTTGCCCACCACCTCTTCTGGGAGCCTATGGTGGAAGGAAGGTTAATGCCTCCATTCTGCTGAGAAAAACCTGCAAGTCCCGGTGGCTTGAGAGTAGAGTTACATGGCACCAGGAAAATTGTCTTCGTGATGCTTGCCACAGCTTTCTGCATCATGGACTAATGATGGACTGAGTTGGGTCCCCAATTTGCAGTCCAGAGAACGGAGGCTGGGGGTTCCAGATCATCCATTTGGGTTGACGGTGTTCAGTGAGCGCTGCCTGCGTGCCAGACACCGTGCTGGGCTTGAGATGGAGACATTCGTCCTTGGAGGGATGGCTAATGCGGCCCATCCCAGCCCAGGAAAGTGTTGAGGCAGGGGACGAGAGAAATGGGGAGGACAAAAGACATTCACTGGGCACCTTCTGGGCCTCCTACATAGGCTATTTAATCCCTAACAACCCAGTGCGCTAGGAATGGGTTGTACCTATTTCGTAGTGTGGACACATAGTGCCTAAGAACACAGGCTCAGGACTCCACCAGACTTGCATTCACGTCTCAGCCCTGTGATTAGCCGTGTGATCTTGGGCATGTTGCTGATCCTTTCTGAGCCTGCGTCCTTGTCTATCCAGAAGGCATAATAGTAGATATCTCCTAATGAATCTACTGTGAAGATGAAATAACACAATATGTGTAAAGCAGTTAGCACGGTGCTGGGCACACAGTAATTACCACTCAGCGAATGTCAGTGATGAGGATGTAGCATCACTTGCCCAGGTGACAAAGCAAGTGAGAGGAGGAGCAGGCTCTGGAGACCCAGGTTTCAAGGTCACCATCTTGGCGACAACATCTGGCACAGAGGAGGCACTTCATAGGTACTTGTTCTGTGAAGGAATGTCCAACAGTAGAAACTAAAGTGGAGATTTTCCTGGTTCCGGGGACAGTCTAACTTCTGAATGATTTGCCCAGCACAAAGAGACTGTTCACCACCACCACCCCCCATTCCTGCCAGCCTCCAGCCTCTCAGCCATCCCCTTGAACCTTCACCCTAACCACACAGCCCTGGCACCAGCCAGGCCCCTCTGCCGCTCCTGTGTAGTCACCGGTTAGCTTAACTTCTGTTCCCATGGTTATTTACGGATTCATTGGCAACTAGTACTTTCCCAGGCACAGGCCCACAGCCCTGGTACCGCTGCCATCCTGCTGCTGGGGCTGTCCCTTTCTCCTGGATGTCTGACGACAACTCTCCTGCTGGGACCACAGAGAGACAGAACAGAGAACCAGGAGAAAATGTATTAAAATGCATTCAGTAAATGTTCCTGGAGCATCTACAATGCACCTGCCCAGTGAGAGCTGCTGGAGATACAGAAGCATTAAGACGCTGTTGCTGTCCTCAAGGAACTTCCCCAGGCTTTTTAATCCGGCCAGGTCCCTGGGAAGCCGACTCAGAGATGGAGATTAGAGTGTAGGATGTTGTTTATGAAGTGCTCTTGGGAAAAAGTGGTGGAAGGGAAGAGAAGGATGCAGGTTTCAGCAGAGGGAGAAGTTGGACTGCGAGGCAGTCCAGACAAAGGCCTCAGTCAACCCCATGGGAAGCCCTGAAGCAGAGACGAACCTTTGGAATTGTCCCAAATTGGGGCAAGAGGTTCCAGCCTTCACACTTCCACGCTGATCTGTCATTGGCAGTGGGCCTGCCCCTGGAAGGAGGCGTGACTTTGGATGAGGCAGTTTTCTCACAATCGAGACAATCTCCAGAGAGGGCTGAGAGCTGAGGGCTGTCTTCCAGCCAGGCTCCCAGTGGCTGGGGGAGTAAGTCACACCAGTAAGCCGTGATCAGTCCAAAGGCGGATCTGAGCAGCCCATCACAGCGCCCACCACACCCAGGGGCCACAGTCTGGCTTCAGGGACGACCAGGGATCCCTGAAGAGGAAGCAACATCTGCCATGGATGTGCAAATGTGCGTTTTTCTGGGGGAGGCTGTCCTTGACCCCCAAAAGATTAAGAACCACTCGCCTAGGGAAAGCCAGACTTGTCTAAAACTTCGAAACAACGTGATCAGAGGTACACGGTATAGATGCTCAATAAATATGAATAGATGGATGGATGGATGGATGGTTGGATGAATGATGGGTGGACAGATGATGGATGAATGAATGATGGGTGGACAGATGATGGGTGGAAGATGGATGGGTGGATGAATAGGTGGGTGGATGGATGGATGGATGGATAGATGCCATAACAGAAGAATGTATGGGAGAGACAGAAAAGGGAGCAACCAATTTTGCCTGGGGCAGGAGGACAGCAAAGATTTCCAGGAGGAGCTGACCCTTTTAAACTGAGTCTTGAAGACTGAATAGGAGTTGCTGAGCAGATAAAAGGAGAAAGGCAGGAGGGAGAGCAGATGCAAAGGCACAGAGTCGTGAGTGAGCCCGAGGATGGTGTGTTTGGGCACTGTAGAAATTCGTTCACTCTGGCTGGCCAGAGGTACATATGAGTTAGAGGAGGAGGATGGGGGCTCCCTCCTTTGGAAAGCCCACAGGTCCCAGGAGGTATCCTGATAGGAATTGTTCCACTAGGTTGTTCTTGAAACAAGCAGGGCTCTCCCCTCCCCCCATCAACACTCAACCATTGCCTGGGTCTCTAGGTGGGGGGAGAGGCAGAACCTAAACCTAATTCCACACAAGTGAAGCGCATCGGGTCATTTACCACATCCTTTCCCATTCCTGACTTCCTTTACTCTTGCAGTCCACCCCTGAGAGGTTGGTGTTATTAGTCGCCCCACTTTCCAGAAGAGAAACAGGTTCAGAGAGGCTAGGTGACTTGCCCAAGGTCCCTCACCGCTAGGTGCCAAACGAGGGGCCCTTCCTCCTGGGACTCCCGCCTCCCTGCGCCCTGCTCT